GGGGGAAATAGGGGAGGGACAGTGGGGGATGAGGAGTTGGGTAGAGATAGCATGGAGAGAAATGCCAGATATAGGTGATGGGGAGGAAAGTAGCACATCACACTGCCATGTGTGTACCTATGCAACAATCTTGCAGGTTCTTCACAGGTACCCCAAAACCTAAAATGCAATTTAAAAAAAAAGAAAGCGATATAATTCTGAGAGATGCCACAATATGGTTTATCCTTGAAAACATTCTACTAAGTAGGATAAACCCGACAAAAAAGGACAAATATAGTAGGATTCCACTAACATGAGGACCTAAGACAGGCAAATTCATAGACAGAAAGTAGAACAGAGGTTACCACTGTTCTAGGGGGAGCCAGGAATTGGAATAGTTGTTTAATGGGTACAAAGTTTTAGTTTGCAATGGTGAAATAGTTCTGAAAATGAATAGTGGTGATGGCTGCATTGTGAGTATATTAATGCCAATAATGGTACACTTAGAATGGTTTAAAAGGTCAATTTTGCTGTGTATATTTTCCCATTAGAAAACCACCTTAGAAAAATTAATACACATGATGGAATCAGTTGTACACCAGTAAAAAAAATAGTAATTTTTCTGGCATTAAAATAGAAAAGGATTTAAGACACAAAACACACTAACCAGAAAAGAAAACATTAATACATTTAACCATATTAAAATTAAGAACTTCAGACTGGGAGCAGTGGCTCAATGCCTATAATCCCACCACGCTGGGAAGCCAAGGTAGGGAGATCACTTGAGGTCAGGAGTTCAAAACCAGGCTGGCCAACATGGCGAAATCCTGTCTCTACTAAAAATACAAAAGTTAGCTGAGTGTAGTGGTGCAGTCCCAGCCATTTGGGAGCCTGAGATGGGAGGATCATCTGAGCCTGGGAGGTGTAGGATACAGTGAGCTGTGATTGTGCCACTGCACTCTAGCCTGGGCAACAGAGCAACACCCTGTCTCAAAAATAAAACAAAACAAAAACAGGAAAACCAACCAAACCAAAAACTAAGCACTGTGGATTAGGAATGAATGATTTTTCATCTTTATACTTTGTGTGGGTCAGGTATTGCCTTCATATAGTGCACATTAGAATATATTTATTGATTGGTAAATACATAGATGAACTAATAGATAAAAAATGATTATATATACACAAATATCAGACTGAATGAAAACTTATGAAAAATTTAAAAATTTTTTTAACAATTATTGTCTATTTCAAAATAACAAAAAAAGTGGAATTGCAATGTTTCCACCATAAAGAAATGCTAAATGCTTGAGGTGATAGATAGCCTGATTGTCCTGATTTTATCACTACACATTGTATACTTGTACCAAAATATCACATATACTTTGTAAATGTGTATTAATACAACTATTATGTATCTATAATCATTAAAATCTTTTAAGAAACAAACCAAAGAAATAAACCAGTTAAAAATGGGTCAAAGATTTTAACACCACACTAAAGAAGATATGCAGATGGAAAATAAGCATATAAAAAGATGCTTCACATCTTATGCCATCAAGGAAATGCAAATCAAAATAATACTAAGATACCACTATACACCTATTAGAATGGCTGAAGTCCAGAACACTGACACTATCAAATGCTTTATTATTATTATTTTGAGATGGTTTCTGTCTTGTTGCCCAGGCTGGACTGCAGTGGCATGATCTCCGCTCACTAAAACCAAACCAGTCAAACCAAAACACTAAGCACTGTGGGTTAGGAATGAGTGATTTTTCATCTTTATATCTTGTGTGGATCAGGGTGTTTCCTTTGCCATGGTGCACATTAGAATATGTTTATTGATTGGTAAATACATAGATGAACTAATAGATAAAAAGGATTATACATACATGAATATCAGACTGAACGAAAACTTACAAAAGAGAAATTTTTTTGATTTTTAAATTTTTATTTATTGTTATTATTATTTTGAGATGGAGTTTCACTCTTGTTGCCCAGGCTGGACTGCAGTGCGTGATCTCGGCTCACTGCACCCTTCACCTTTCAGGCTCAAGTGATTGTCCTGCCTCAGCCTCTGAGTAGCTGGGATTACAGGCACGTGCCACCACACCTGGCTAATTATATTTTTAGTAGAGACAGGGTTTCACCATGTTGGCCAGGCTAGCCTCGAACTCCTGACCTCAAGTGATCTGCCCGCCTTGGCCTCTAGAAATGCTGTGATTACAGGCATGAGCCACCATGCTCAGCCATATTATTATTATTTTTTTTCGAAATGGAGTTTCCCTCTGGTTGCCTGGGCCAGAATGCCACAATGTAATCTCGACTCACTGTAATCTCCGCCTCCTGGGTTCAAGCGATTCTCCTGCCTTGGCCTTCTGAGTAGCTGGGATTTCGGGTGCATGCCACCAAGCCTGGCTGATTTTGTGTTTTCAGTAGTGACAGGTTTCACCATGTTGGCCAGGCTGATGAACTGACCTCCGGTGATCCACTCACCTCAGCCTCCCAAAGTGCCTAGATTATAGGCATGAGCCACTGTACCAAGTCAAGAAATGCTTAATATTCGGTTTATTTAGATCTCATTTTTCCTTCAAGTTTTAATAACAGAACTTTTTCAGGAGGCATATATGTATGCTGATATGTGATGTGTGTAGGATTTCTGTTGAGATGAGAAGTCAGAATCGTTTTGATCCATAAAACTTACTGTAGCCAAGAACTTAACATTGTTATTTCTAAAGGAAAATCATCTTCTAGTTTCTTAATTTGTTTTCCTCTAGTTGCTGAGCTAAAACCTGAATTAGGCTGTAGACTCCCCATGCTGGGTAAGAATGGAGAGAGCAGAAAACCAAAACTGTAGGCCTGAAGAGTCACAGGTTCCATTACACTCCAACCCTCATGTGTTTTTTCCACAGGGAGCCTTTCCAGCTCGTTTGAAGAAGGTGCTGATTGTGGGGGCACCCATATGGTTCTGAGTGCCCTATTCCATCATCAGCCTCCCCGTGAAGGACAAAGTCCGGGAGAGGGTAAGGCAAGCTCGCCCTTTTCTGTTTGGAGGTGAATAGATACATTCTCATCTTTACCAGTGAATTCCTACCAATTAATTTTCTACCTTCAAAAAATCTTCCTGGCATGTCTCCTAGAGCACGTTCTGTCTCTGTTAGTGCATTCACTCACATTATCTACCTGCTGCATTAGTCAGCTCATACAGACTTCCTCTCTTACTGTCCTACCAGCTTCTTGAAGTTCGAAACTAGACACAGTTTATCTGGCTCTCACTTTCTCTAGCACCTTGCATAAGATGGTACTGAAGGAATATCTCTTGCAGGTAACTTAGGGATGGCTACTACTTCCAAAGTGTTTCCCAGTGCTGCAGAGCACTTTATTATTTAGCAGCTTGTAACATAACTGCATTAGCTGAACTGGCATTTGGATTTGTTCAGCTGGAAACATCAATCCCTTTGACCACCAGGGTTGTGGAGGGGAGTTTTTCATTATGTCTCTTTCTACATTTATTCCTGGCATTGTTTTCTCAAAACATCTTGTTTCTTCCCAATTTTAAATGCATTTGAAATTATCTTAATTCTGGGTTCAGCGTAGTGGCTCACACCTATAATCCTAACACTTTGGGAGGCCGAGGCAGGGAGATCACTCGAGGCAGAAGCCGGAGCAGGTCGCGCTCCTCCAGAAGCTGTTCCTGGTCCCGGTCCAAGTCGTACTCCCCAGGAAGGAGATGTCAGTCACGGTCCAGGAGCCCCACCCCGCCATAAGATACTGTCTTAACTGCCATGCTGGTAACACTAGGACTCTGTGGTGCTTTGCTTTCCTTAGACGTCACGTCAAGTTCCACCTGCTGGTGCTCACAGCTCCTTGGTCACCTCCTCCAGGGTGTGGTAGTGGAAGTAGTCTGCATCCAGGGAGTGCAGGAGGGAGGCGTGCAGGTGCTGGCTGCCCTGGATGAACTGCTGCATCAGGCTCAGCTGCTGCTTCAGCCTGTCATGTAGTGCCAGTACGGCCAGGCTATAGGTGGTCAGGGCTTCTATTGCGTCCGCGCTGATAACATGATTGGCGATGGGCGTTGGGTCCTCGTAGGCACCTTCCAGGGCAGGCCCCATGGCTGCCATGCCGGCCACCTTGGTCCACTCGTAGGTGAAGGTGGGATCGGGTGTCTGCACAGCTGTGTCCTTCACAAGGACTCTTGTCACGTGCCTGCCTGGCGTTTTCCTAGACTCGGCTATTTGTGGAAGGTCTGTCTTCACACTGGAAGAAGATTCAGACAGAACGTCCAGTGTTCTGTCAAGAAACTTCCTGGAACGGGCAGTTGGCTCAGATGCCGTCAGACTTGGAGAGTTTTCAAAATCCTCAGAATAGGCTGAGCTGACTGTTCACCATGGGGGCTTCAGATGGCAGCTGCATGCTGGAAGCGCTGTCCAGCTGGACGCCAGGAGCCGAGCTGGCACTGAAATGCTCTGAGACCTTGCTCTCATGCCCCTCTGCAGAGGCGGGCTTTTCCCACAATGCCCAGCTCCTTGCCTGGGCAGGCCTCGGGGCATCCTGCCCAGCAGATGCCTCGGCTCTGAAGATTGTGCCAGCTGTTTTTTCCCTGTGAGCACTTTCCTCTTCCTGTTCCAGATCCGAGTTCTCACGGACAACGGGAGCCAGATTGTCAAGCGATAAAATATTTATTCTGAACTCGTCGAGGCTGTCATCAGCACCTTCTGAAACTGACTCATCTACAGGCTCAGTCTCACTCCCTCCAGGGGAGGACCCAAGCTTGATGTGCCCCATCTTTAAAGAAACTGATTTCAAAAAGGCGCCTGTGATGGAAACTGACGGCATGTGGGAGGCGGTGTCATCGGAAACGTGACTCTGCGAGGACTGTGCTCTCGAGCAAGCGCTGTGAAGGGTCCTGTCTGCTGCTAGGGAGGTTGGCAGGTATGATGTCTGAGAAGGCTTTCAACTGGAGAGCTCCACGCTGGGTACAGTAAATGCTTTTTTTATTTTTTTCCCATGGGCATATCTTCATTTGAAAGGGTCAAAAATTTTATTAGCAGGCCTTTTTCTGTTTTTGAACATACAGGTTTTCTGCTGTCCAGGGTAATGGAGAAGTAGTATCTTGTTGACCGAGGTTTGGGGTGCTTGCCTTGGGGCTCCATCCCCATCCCTTTCCTGCCAGCGCACTGGGGGAAGGCGCCTGTTTGCCAGCCCTATGGATTCTTCCTCTGTGGGATAAGGCACTGTGTGTTCTGCAGGAAGGCGCTCATGGCTGGCTGGTAGATGAGAGGCGGCCTTCTCAGGGGATGCAAAGCTGAGGCTGTTGAGGGGTCGAGTTGATCTTGGGGCTCTGGCAGGGGGGCACCTGGTAAGGAGGCTCCAGGTGATGGGAGCGCGGCCTGGAGAGTCTGGCGCCGCTGCCTCCCCGCTGGCCTTACACCAGCCCTCAGGATGGATCATGCCTTTGCTCTTCTTGTGGTTGGCCGTGGTTCTCCGGCTGTGGTTGGCTCTTGTCGCCTTGTTGGCTTCCTTCTTCCTGCATTCCTAGGTTGTCTCATGGCTCTGCCCATGGCCCCTGGGGCTGCCAGCCACTGCTGTTGAGCTGTCATGCCGGTACCCTTTCTTGGCGAGAGAGGCAATGCGCCTGGCTTCTGCCTTCTCTCTCAGCACTGCAGGGTCCTGCATGAAATGGTCAGGCTTGGGAGCCTCCTCTTCCTCATCGTCCCCCTCCTCCTCCTCCTGCCCTTCTCTAGGCACTTTGGTTCTAAGCCCCTGAGGGATGGTGAATGGCCTGCGGCTGATGAGTTTGTCATCTGCATCCGCATCGTTGGTGTCCACCTGGTTGCCATCGTATGTGTCATCATCCTCATCCTCATAGTAAACATTGTGGTAGGGCAGGCTCTCACCTGGCTGCAGTAGCACCTCCTCCACCACCACGCTGTACTGCTCATGGCACTGCCACTGTGCGCCACTGTGTGCTTGTCATTCAGGAAACTCCGTGTGTTCTCCTCCTTCCCAGTGCTCTTGCCCTTGTGCACCCACCTCAGGTCTACTGCGTCCCTGCTAAACATGTCAAACTCATCATTATGGAAGACGTTGTGGTGAGATGTCAGCAGGGGTGTCTGGTCTGGTTTCATTTCTCTGCCTAGGTTGTGGTCCAGCTGGGTGAGGGTGGGGGCCATCTGCTCCTCCAGGATATTGTTGATCACCTGCTCTGTGTCATAGTGGTAGTACTCCAGGCAGGCCAGGATGAAGCCCTCACCAAGGTCTGGCAGCAGGTCCTTCACCTGGGAGATGAGTGAGTCCAGCTCCACCCCACACATGATAAGGCCCACAGCCGCAGCTGCTCCCATGCACTCCTCTTCCTCCGAGTTCTCTGGATGTGATGATGCTTGACTGACTGCGTCTGCCATCACCGTGACCCCATTAGGCTCCTCAGTCACTGATGGGTCTTTAGCATCTGTGGCTTTCCATCTGTCCACCCCTTCCCATGCACTCTCGACTGCCTGGAGGATGTAGGCAGTCCATGTCTTGTCCAAGACTGACGAGGTCTGCTGCAGCAAGCTGATGTCTTCGGCCACAGGGAAGAGTGTATCATAGTCCCAGAGGAACCTCTTCTCCTGCAGCAAGGAGCTGAAGGTCTGAAGGAACTCTTCAATGAAGCCCTGAGTGTTGTCACAGCTGCCTTCTAGGATGGGAAGGAGGCATATCTGGTTCAGGATGATGTGGAAAATCTCCATTAGCTTCTTCCTGGAATGGGAGAGCCTCTGCCACAGATCACCTAGTAGCTTGCTATCTTCAAGCTTCCTCTTCTTAATTGCAGACTCCATTTCAGGAATTGCTGCTTCATAGAAGGAAGCTAGTCTGTGACGAAAGTTGTGCTTCTGGAAGGTCTGGCAAGCCAAAGGGAAGATACCCAGAAAGGCCCAGAGTGTGGTGCAGGTGTCACAAAGGTGGAGAACAATGTCCTTTAATTCCAGGAGAGGCATGTCATTGGGGGTCAACCGGCCCCTCTCCTCGAGCTTCTGGGGTGTGCTACTGGCCCCATCCCCTTGCAAACCACAGTGCTGGAGGATATTGCTGAAGACCTGAAGGGTGGTAGGCATGGTTTCATCTAGGTCATTGCAGCAACTCGGCTGCTGTGTAAAGATGTTTCCTATCATCTTCTGGAGCAGTGGTGAGTTGCCTTTTCCAAAGAGCACACAGCGGTCCAGAATCTTTGGAATGTCAAAGAGGAAATTATTTGTAGAGGATTTCTCTAAATGCAGAAGGGGAAATGAAGTGATCTTTGGATTACTTGTGAGTGGACATGTGGAGGAAGGGAAAGAAGTATTTTAGGAACCTGCGGCTGCAGATGGCCATGGAGGAGAGCAAGAGGGAGACGGGGGCAAGGAGGAGTCATCTCTCATAGATCTTGCTGACGTCTTCACAGCCCCAGCTCCTCCCCCGACCACAGACCCCTGGGGGGCCCCAGCACCCATGGCTTCTGCCACCCCCATGGCTGCCCCCACCTCTGACCCCTGGGGTGGCCCTTCTGTCCCTCCAGCTGCTGATCCCTGGGGGCTTCCAGCCCCCACATCAGCCTCTGGGGACCCCTGGAGGTCTGCTGCCCCTGCAGGACCCCCAGTTGACCCTTGGGGTGGGACCCCAGCCCCTGCGGCTGGAGAGAGGCCCACGCCAGATCCATGGGGAAGCTCTGGTGGTGGGGCCCCGTCAGTGGACCCTCCGCCTCCGATCCCTGGACACCGGCCCCGGCCTTCTCGGATCCCTGAGGAGGGTCACCTGCAAAGCCCAGCACCAATGGCACCACAGCTGGGGGCTTCCACACGGAGCCAGACGAGTTCTCCGACTTCGACCAAATCCGAATGGCCCTGCTGACCCCCGGGAGCAGCGCGGGGGAGCTGGAGCTGCTGGTAGGAGGGGTGCTGGCCCGAAGCCCTGGGGCGTTTGACCTGAGTGGGGTCAGGGGATCTCTGGCCGAGGTTGTGCGCAACCCGCCACCTGCAGCCACGCCAACTCCCACGCCCCCAACCCGGAAGACACCAGAGTCATTCCTGGGACCCAATGCAGCCCTCGCCAACCTGGACTCGCTGGTGAGCCGGCCAGGCCCCATCCGCCTGGAGCCAAGGCCTCCAACCCCTTCCTGCCAGGCGGAGGCCCAGCCCCAGCCCCTCCATCACCAACCCCTTCCAGCCCGCACCCCCCGCGATGCTCACCTTGAACCAGCTCCGTCTCAGTCGTGTGCCTCCTGTCGCTGGATTGCCACCTGTATACATCTCTCCCCTTGGTGGGGGCCCTTGCCTGCCCCCATGATGCCCCCAGATCCCCCAGCCAACACTAACCCCTTCCTCCTATCATCCAGGGCAGGAGGGGGACCTGGCCCCACCGGGCCGCCCCCATTCCGGCTCTCTGGGAGATCAGTGTTATGAGTGCATGTGAAATGGGGGTGTGCCCTCCCAGTGCCCTTCCCCGTCCTGGGGCCCACTCACACTACACCCTCTTCCCTTTCCCACCCTGCCTCCCGGGAGGGAAACTGGACATGGGGCCTGGGGAGGGAGCTGGCCAGAGGAAGACCCTTTCCCGTGGCATTAGAGGGGGAGGGGCGGCTGGGGCCCCACATGTTCCCCTCCCTCAAATTCCCAACCCCAGTCAGTGTTTGAGCCTCCTCGTTCCCCTCACACAACCTCGGTGAACCCTTGGTGATGATTTTGGCGACTTTGGGAATAAATGGCACTC